GAAAGCTGATGCCACTCCGGGGGGACGTTAGCGAGCTGAGCCACTGACACGTTCCGAGAAGCAGGCTGCTGCCTTTGGCTCACACTTGCCTGCTTCTAGCTCAGAGCTTCAGGGCACACAGGATGCCAACAACATGGAACTACCAAGAACAACCTCGCGTGCCCACACCAGCTCACCCCCCTTCTGGACTGCAGGTCCAGCTCTTCCATCCTGCCAATCACCCCAACACTTGCAAGTCCCATTGCCAATGCTTTTCCTAGCATTGGGCCGCGCTGGTTTTCCAGGCCACCTCACTGCTGTTGCGAGTACTCAGTAGGACCTATGGCTGCAGGGTGGGAGAGCCTTACAAAGGCACTGTAAAGGGTCCGGTGTAGGGGCCTCGCGGCTCAAGTCCTCGCCTTAAATGTCCCGGGATCCCATATAGGCACTAGTTCTAATCCCTGTTTGTGGCCTGGGAAAGCAGTTGAGGATGGCCTAAAACCTTGAGACCCTGCACCTATGTGGGAGACCGGGAAGAGTTTCTGGCTCCTGGGTTAGGCTCAGTTCTGGCTGCTACAGCCACTGGGGGCATGAATCATCAGACGGAATATGTTCCTCTCTATATCTCCTCATCTCTACATATCTGACTTTCAAATACAAATAAGTAAATCTTAAAAAAAAATAAACAAACCACAAAGGCATTGTAAAACAGACTTCTGGAAAGCATACACCATCATCCTGCTCCATGGTTCTGCTTATTTAAGCTTTTTAATATCCAAAAGATCTACTTTTATTTAAAAGGCAGAGTTATATATAAATCAATCAATCAATCTATCTATCTATCTATCTATCTATCTATCTATCTATCTATCTATCTATCTATAGAGAGAGAGATCTAGCATCTGTTGGTTCACTCCCCAAATGGCTACTACCATGGCCAAAGCTGGGCTCGATTGAAGCCAGGAGCTTCTTTTCAGTGTCCCGCTTGGGCACAGAGGCCCAAGCACTTGGGTCGTCCCCAGGCAAGTTGGCAGGGAGCTGGACTGGAAGTAGAGCAGCCAGACCTTGAAGTGGTGCCCACATGGGATGCTGGCGTCACAGCCATGGCTTTACCTGCCATGCCATACAAGCCCCAGTGCTAGTTTTATAGAACAAGATCCTTCTTGGCATCAGATACAAATACACTGATTCTGAACAAAGGCCTTTTACTAGCACTTAAATGCCTGACAACGTACAGTCTCCACAATGCTGAAGAAAGAAGACTGGAATAGCAAGCACCACGGCTGACCTCCAGTCTACGTGTCGGAATTCCTAGGCAGAAGCGTGTGTAGACTACACATCAGCTGGCGGGAGTCTGGGTCCAGTTCTCTGGGTCTGCAACACGTTACGCATACCTCACACAGGTGTGGTGATCACAATAAAAATGAAAGCACTTGGCACAGTAAATCATCCCATTAACTCTGCTGGAGGCTTTACGGAGAACCTGTTCCTAATTCCATCTTCAGTGATGACCAGGGAAGACACTGACTGGCAGGTGCTTTGTTAGACATCTCAACAGCTGAGCACGCAGATGGTGGCCCGACTGTGTGATATGAAAGCTAACACTGCACGGAAAACAACACGGCTAAATGAAGCCTGCTTATATAGATAGAGGGCCTGGGCGATGGCTCGAATGGCTAATCCTCTACCTGGCAAGTGCTGGAATCCCATATGAATGCCAGTTCGTGCCCCGGCTGCTCCACTTCCCTTCCAGCTCCTTGCTTGTGGCCTGGGAAAGCAGCAGAGGACGGGCCAAAGCCTTGGGACCGGTGCCCATGTGGGAGACCCAGAAGAAGCTCTTAGCTCCTGACTTCAGATCAGTTCAGCTCCAGCAGTTGTGGTCATTTGGGAAGTAAACCATCGGATGGAAGATTTTTCTTTCTATTAATCTGCCTTTCCAATAAAAAATAAATGTTTTTTTTTAAGTGACAGAGGGAAAAGGTAGACAAATGGAAAAATCCTTCCAAGAGTCCGTGAAAAGTGGGTTCTTTCTCCAAGCCCATAACTACAGAGAACAAAGCAGACACACACTACAAGGTGATCCCTGGCAATGTCAAACTGGTTCCTGCCTGATCTTGTGAATAGAAACTAACAACAAATAGAGAGCCAGTAATACATTACACAGGTCAGGGGACCTCTCGCCCGGAGCCTTCACTTATTTACAAAATATACTTGCTACAGAGAGAATGCAAAAAAAAAAAAAAATCATTAAGTTCTTGGGTTAAGTGGTCATTCTCTAAACGCTGTTTGCACTTAAAGCACAATGGATCACATGGCCCAACTCCGAAATCAGTCAAAAGCAAGATTCATGAAGGCACACGATGGAAAACCTTCAGGACGCTGCGCCTCTCGCTTGTGAAAGCTGGCCTTGCACGACAGCCCTCCCTCCTCCTGCTGAGGACTGGAAGGGAGGGGACGCATTACTGAGAAGGCCAGTCAGGAGGCCGCATCCGCCCTCACTATCAGGATGGCCACATGCCATGTGGTGTCCCACACTGGGCGTGCTGGGGTTCAATCCCTAGCCATCTCCCAGCTGCAGCTTCCTGTAACCTGGGAGACCTGGACTGCCCCTGCTGCGGAGATTTGTACCGGCCTGGGCCTGGCTCATGCACACGCTGGGGCGTTAGCCAATGGACGCGAGCTCACTCTTCTGGAGGCGAACATTGTGACAGGGAGGTTGAGCTGCTGCTCGATGCCCACACTTTGTATTAGGGTGCTGATTTGCGTCCTAGCCACTCCATACTTGTGGTCCAGCTTCCTGCCAACGCAGCCGGGAGGTAGCAGATTCTTGGCTCAAGTACTTGGGATCCTGCCACCTACATGGAGACCCAGACGGAGTTCCTGCCTTTTGGATTCAGCCTGGCCTAGCATTTGGAGAGTAAACCAACAACTGCTAGAAGATGGCACTGTCTCCGTCACCCTGCTTTTCAAACAAATGAATAAATCCTAAAAACCAAACAAAAAACAAACCTGCAGAACAGTGTACCCCCCAGATATCTTGTATCATTCCACTCTCTGCCACCTAGAATGGGAATCTGCTTTTGTTGTGTGTCCACACTGTATGTGGTACCTGCCCCGTTAGTCCCTTGCCCTTCACTTCAAATCAACTGTTTCATTATCACAAGGCTCTTCAAGTAATTCTTTTACTTAATAATGATGCCCAAAAGCAAGAATAGTGGTGCTGGCAATTCAGATCTACAAAAACAAAACAAAAGCTGCGGAGTGCTTTTCTTATGAGAAAATGTGAGAAGTTCTCAATGAATAGAAATCGTAAGCTGAGGTTGCTAAGATCTCCAATAACAAGTCTATCCAGAAACTGTGAAGGGAAGAGAAATGTGTGCTTAGTTTTATTGTCACACCTCCACGTGCAAAAGTTAAGGCCATAGTGAGTGATGAATGCAGAGTTACGATGAAAAAAGGCATCGCATTTGTGGGTAAAACATGAACAGAAACTATGTTCCAATTTTATAGCAACATGCTGTACCGGAAAGCTGTGAGCCTTCAGCAAAGGCCATCCTGACATGTGACACCGTGACACCCACTGCTGCCTGCAAGTAAACGATGCCGAGGCAGTCAGGGATAGAACACTGTGTCCTCCAACCAAGGAGCTGTTGTCCTGTTTCTGGCAGCCCAAGAAGCTGGCCAGAGAAAGGACACCATCTACAGCAGTGGTTCAACTGTGGCAAAACTCTGCTCCTCTGTAGGATACCCAACAGGACTTAGGTTCATATAAGTACAACAGAGGAATGCTTTGTGGCAAACTGGGTTAATCTGCCACCTGCAAGCTTTGCATCCCATGTGGGTGCTTGTTCAGGTCTCAGCTGCTCCACGTCTGATCCAGTGGGGAAGACGGCCCAAGGGCTTGGGCCCCTGCCACCCACGGAGAAGATCCAGAGGAAGTTCCTGGCTTTGATGTGGCCCAGCCCCTGTCACTGCACCAACTTGCAGAGTGAATCAGAGAATCCAAGCTCTCTTTTCTCTTTGCCTTTCATATCACTCACTCACTCAATCCAAAAAATAAAAGTGCAATGGACACCGATTTAACTTGGCTACTCTGCAGTCCTCCCTGGAGGGAAATTCTTTAAAATAAAGAATGAACGAACCAACAGACAGACATTGGTTAACTTATCTGCAGCCTGTATCGGAAAGCCTGGGCTGCATTTCTGCCCCAGCTCCATCCTACAGCTTCCTGCAGATGGAGAACCTGCGAGGCAGCAGTGATGGATCAGAGTAGCTGGCTTCCAGCCACCTATGCAGGAGTCCCCAGTTGTGCTCCTGGCTCCAGGTTTTTTTCTCACCTAGCCCCAGCTGTGTGAACAACTTGGAGTAAACTCTCTCCATCTTTCTCTAATAAAAAAATATTAAAAACTAAAAACTAGCTCCCAACTTTGGAAGAAGCTCCTGGCTCCACAGTGCCCACTCGAGGAGTGAACCCACACATGGAAGATGTGTCTGTTTCTCTCCCTCTCTAATTCTAAGATTCGAATAAAATAAATAAACCTTAAATGGAAATTTATCTCTTTCTCTAAAATCTTTGAAATAAACAAATCTTTATTTCCCTAATTAGTCAGTGAGATAGTAAAGTTTAACTGCATTATATGAGGCAGTGTCGGACCCAGCATGGTGGCCTAGTGGCTAACGTCCTCACCTTGCCTACACCAGGATCCCATATGGGCACTGGTTCTAATCCCGGTGGCCCCACTTCCTATCCAGCTCCCTGCCTGTGGCCTAAGAAAGCAGTCGAGGATGGCCCAAAGCCTTGGGTTCCTGCACCCGTGCGGGAGACATGGAAGAAGTTCCTGGCTTCTGGCTTTGGATTGGCGCAGCACCGGCCGTTGCAGTCACTTGGGGAGTGAATCATCTTCCTCTCTTTCTTTCCTCCTCTCTGTATATTTGACTTTCCAATAAAAATAAATAAAATCTTAAAAAAGAATAAAAAAGTGGGTGACAGCAGCCCCCAAAAGTACTGGGCCCTTTTCCACAGATGTCACATCAAAGCAAGCTCTAAAAATGCTGGGCTATTCACACATCAGATCTGGGACAGGTGGCTCCCCTGCTGGGCCACTGCTCTTGCTGGTGAGCCTGAGAGCTGGGACTGGGGGCAGACCAGCTTGGCCAGGGCTACAGAGCCCACTGCCTGCATACGAGCTGGGTTGGGGGCAGCCAGGCTGGACTAGGTGATTATACCCACTTGGTGCATGCATGAGCCACAATAAATGTGGGATGCTTGGTCTGTGCCACACACAGCATCAGCTAGCAGGTGCTGGGACTAGGGGGTAAGTCCTATCAGGCTAGACCATAGAACCACTTGGAAAGTAAGATCCAGGGCTAAATGTAGGCCTAGCAGAAAAATTGCAGGCATATCTCTGATGGACTACAGCTTTCACTAGTGAGCATGAGAACCAGGACTAGGGACAGGTCTGGCTAGACAGGTGGTGACACCCACCGGTACGAGTGTGGGCTAGATAATGGGGTTGGTTGGGCTAAGCTAGGCTATAGCACACAGTGATGTGTACGAGCTGAATGGGACCAGCTGCTGCACATGGTGGAATGCGCAGTAACCAGGGCTGGGGCAGGCCTGATGGACCCCCAATTAGGCTGCAGTTCCCACTGATGTGCGTGAGGGCCAAGTGTGTGGTTAGGCTGGGCCACAGCATCCATTGGCTTGCGTACAAGATGGGGCTGGGGACAGAACTAACCCAACAACTGCAACCACCAGTGTGTGTGTGGGCTGACATGGATGAAGGACTGAGACAGAACCCAAATTGGCTCAGGAGTCAGGTTGGGGTCACCTCTGGCAAGGTTTCTTTGGGGACCCCTCAACTGGATCGTTGGACTCAGAACCCCAACCACTGTGAAAATCACAGGATTGTGGAGTGTGTCATAATTGGGTCTCCTCAGTTACTGAGACCTGTGCAGCGGATGGTATGCCCAGCTGCTCATGAAGGCCAGTTCATTGAGACCTGCAGAGGACGTCTAATACAATGGAACAAATTGGACAGTTCTCCTGGTCAAGCTTTGACAGCGAGTATCTGGGCAAATGGAGACTCTAAGATGGACTATGTCACCCAGTGGACCTTGGAAGGATTTCCTCAACCTTGGAGCAATGAAATCCACAGCATCTCAGAACTATCAAAATCACTTAGAGCTGTATCTTCAGAACGTGCTCCACATCAGGGACCCTGGATGACACTGGGTGGCTGAACCCCATTCCTGGGTACTGATGTGGCTGGCCTGCTGGGAGCAGTTCTCTCCTCTTCTCTCCCTAGACTGGAGTAGGTTATTTCATCTACTTCCCCCAATTTCTTGATCTTCCCCACCCAAACCAGTATTTCACATGGGCATGCATCCCTCTCAACTACATAAAAATCATCAAAAATAAAATGAATTTATTATTTTTAAAAGTTGGGCTGTTCCATGTGAAGGACTCTTAGTTGAAGGTGGGTACATGTTTTCCTTTGATAATATCAGAACTATTTTCACAGTCAACGTCTCTTGACCTAGCCCCAGAACTGAGCAACTAGCTGCCAACATTTGACACACAGGAACATCTCCTTTTGCGCTAATGGGCCATCAGTTCCCACACAGCGTTGCCTCGCCTTCACGAACGCTACACAATCCATTTACTTCTTCTACATTAGTGACTTCAAATGGACCTTAGGGGGATACTACGGAACAGCAAGTATGGAGCTGGGCCAACACCAGGCTTGCAAAAACATAAGAAAAAGCAGCAGCCTAGCAGGCACGGGGGTGGGGGGACACAGGAAACGGAACCCACCCCCTGTCAATTGGCTGAGGCCAATGGCCCCGCTGTGAGAGCTGTCCCCTCCTGGGAAAAAAGCCAGTAGGTTGCCTCCTCTCTCCACAGTTCCATATTAAGCCTGCAACTGTTTACCTTCAATCTCAGATACATTCTGTTCACCAGCTTCAGAGCTGCGAGTGCAGGTACCCTGAGTTAATCATCCCAGCTCACTCCAGAGTCACTTCCAGCAGTGAGGGATGTTCCAGGCAGGCAGCCAGCCAGGGGCAGTTTTTCTTTTTAATCTGCACCACTCTGGTCCCTAAAGACTTGCTTTAAAGTTTTGCTTTTTGTTTAAAGTATTTTCTTCAAACAAGGGGAAAATAGTCACAGGACAAATCTAGGACTCTGCTCTGGACAAAGAAAGAGACTGAAATAAGGAAGAAACCAACCAGGGATGGGAGTGCTGGACTGTGTCCACAGAGGGAAACGGAGATGAGAACAGACAAGATGCTTTAAGGGAAAATATTTTCTAAAAGACTACAACCAGACTCATGTTCACTTTGAAAAAGCTATTTACTTTTTTTCCAAATACACGTTTTACAGACAAGGCAGAATATGATCCAGATTCATTCTATAGAAGAAACCCATTTTTACAGACATTGAGAAATTACTCTAATAGAAGAAAAAGCTCACATTTATCTAGCCGGGGCTAAGTTTTATGGGAAAGTTTTAGTATCTAAAGTGCAAACACAAAAAAACTGTGGCTCTTCTTGCCACGTGAATTATTGACAATTTCCCCCCACAGCCTACCCTTAATTGTTAGCTAGGATGCCAAACAGACAATATACCAAATGTTAGAACTAGGGTTCAACAGAAGAAGGTGCCTTCACACTGCAGGGCAGGGCGGGGAAGAGCAGGGGGAAGGGCAGGGTGGGAAGAGAAGGGGGGGCGGGCCAACATCAGAATGGGTTTAACCTTAGAACTGCCTCTGACCCCAGCTGAACCCAAGGCCAGAAGAGGACCCTATCATGAGAGATAAATACAGGCTGTAATATAACATTTAAAAGGCTGTGCCACTTCATGCTTATTAGAACCTAATCCAATTTAAAGCTAAGCTTCCTCCCAACTCAAGTTCCTTCCTCAACCTATCCCCCTTTTAGGAAAGTTCCACTGTCTAGTTCAATTCATAACACAGAGCAGCCATGCTAAATCCTGGACTTTTTCCCCACCCGAGACGAGTTAGCTCTATCAAAGATGAAGGGGTTTGTCACTGACTCAGGGAAGTAAGTCCTACGTGACAGAAGAGAAAGGTCATTCCACGAGCAACATTTGACTCTGAGCCAAAAGGATGTCTTCCATCCCAAAAAGAATGACAGTGAATTCCACACTACCCCAGCTAGCACAAGGTGCTGATATTACGTTACTTGAGGAGGAGAGAGATATATATAGTTTCAATAAAACCCTTATGCACAATTAAACTTGATTAAAAGCCTGGAGAATGCTAAAAGTAGTAATGAGTACAAGAGGCTGCAGCACGGAGAGTACAGGTGTGCCTTCTCTCGCAGTCAGTAGATGCTGGTAAGTGGCAGCCGACCTGACTTCACTTGAGCATTGGTGAAGCAAAAAAGTTCCCCTGTTGTCCTAGGTTGGTGGCAGATTTGCTTTTGCTACCAAATCTAAAAACAAAAAGAAAGAAAGAAAATATTTATATAAAATACAGTGATTAAACAGTCATATTGGGGGTGGGTGCAGCACTCTAACTGGCTAATCCTCCATCTGCATGCACTGGCATCCACATGGGTGCTGGTTTGTAGCCGGCGGCTTGCTTCCCATCCAGCTCCCTGCTTGTGGCCTGGGAAAGCAGTCAAGGGCGGCCCAAAGCCTTGGGACCCTGCACCTGTGCGGGAGACCTGGAGAAAGCTCCAGCCCCTGGCTTTGGATTATCTCGGCTCCAGCTGCTGCAGTCATCTGGGGATTGAACCAGTGGATTAAAAATCTTTCTGCCTCTCCTCTCTGTAAATCTCTTTTCAATAAAAACAAAAGTGAAAGCCTAGACAGCTCTTTTGTGAGGTATGCCTGCTGCCAGTAAGAGTAGAGAGTAGAGGCCTTGACAGCCTTTCTAAAGCAAGCAGCATAGAGCAGGCATACAGCTCAGAGGAGCAGGGTTCAACTCCCAGCCCTGGCTCCTGACTCTACTTCCTGATACGCTCTGAGCTCTGGAAGCAGCAGCGACAGTTCAGAGAAGTGGGTTCGTTACACCCACCCGGAAGACCTGCCCTGAGTCCCCAGCTCCAGCTCAGGTCCCTGCAGGCGTGGGTGGGAGTTGTCTCTGCTTGGGACTCTCTCCATCTCTTGCCTAACAGTTTTCAAGAAGAAGGATTTCTTACAACTTCACGTTTCCTTTTACAGCCTAGCTGCCAGCTGAGATCAAAGTCAATGTTTGTTTCAAGACGCCTCAGTCTGACAGGAAGCAGTCACTGCTTGTGCCCTGAGCAGGCCTACCTTGGGGTGTTCCTGGAGATGGTGGAGCGCACCCTCTGTGACAGGGAGCTGGACGAGGGGGTCTTGAGAAGCTGGTGTTCAGGAGTGGTCATAGGGCCCAGCAGACTCACTAAAACCAGAGGGCAGACATGAGCAAACAACCACTGCAGCACAGCGGTCCCGAACGGCCAGTGATGATCCTTTGAAGCACTCAAGTGCAAAACTCCAGAGATCATTTCTGTTATTACTTTCTAACTTGCTAGTACGGCTTTTAAACTACGCAGGCAACCACTCAATATGACATTCACTTGCTGATTTAGGCCATTTTCAAACTCCAAACTTCATAAACCTAGCCATCTGAACATTCAATTACCTATAACAGAAGAAACAAAATGCTCACTTAAAAAAGAATTTGCAATGATGAAAGAACAGGTATCCAATGTTAGTAAGGTCAGAATAAAACCACCCTATTCATACAAGATTATTGGTGGCGATATAAATTAACAGAAGCCTTTAAAAAATCAAACTGGCGAAAGATTGAGAAACAATAAAATATTTAGGTCCTTTAGGTTAGTGTTTTGTGCTTTTGAGAATTTATTATTAGGACACTTCAAAAATCTCATGAAAAGTAGAACTGCAAGTTGATCTTGGTGCATAAAAAAACCTGAACTCTATGCATATGTGGAAGCTTTAGAAAGTTCATCTATATTATAAAATCACTATTCAGGGGTGCCAGTCCTGGGATGCAGTGAGTTTAGCCACTGCCTGCAATGCCAGTCCAAGTTCTGGCAGCTCCATGCTGACGCACCTGGAGGTCAGCAGAGGATGGCCCGTGTGCTGGGACGCCTGCCACTCCAGTGTGGCGCTCGCAGGATCCTGGCTTTGGCATGGCCCAGCCCTGGCTGTTGCAGCCCCTGGAAAGTGAACCAGTCAGTAAGTAGATGGAAGATCTCTGTCTCTCCTTGTCATGCTGGCATTCAAATAAATAAATCATTTTTTAAATTTACTTTTATTGGAAAGGCAGATTTACAGAGAGACAAAGATCTTCCATCCGCTGGTCTCACACCCCATCTTGCTGCAGTGGCCAAAGCTGAACTGATCCAAAGCCAGTAACCAGGAGCTTCTTCTGGGTCTTACCATGTGTACTATTTTTCCTAGATAATATAGTGTAGCAAACACTTACATAGCATTTACACTGCACTAAGCATCATGAGCAATGGATAACTTAAAGTACATGCGAGGATATGGGCAAGTTATATGCAAAGGCCATGCCATTTTGCACTTTCCAGGAATATGAGCATCCTCGGAGATGGGTGTCTGCTGTGGTGGCAGCGGGGGCTGAGAACAAACCCCCAGTAGATCCCGAAGGACAACTATTTACATATTCTCATGTACACACAATATCATACAGGATTCTTCACAAAAAATGTTAATACCTAATTGAATACTTAAACAAAGGTTACAACCATAAAATAAGATTACAGAGAAAACAAAAATTTTCAATATATTAAATTAGAACAAATTACATATAAACTAGTATGTCCATGAGTATAGACATACATACCTTCATACACAGAAGAATACATGGAAAAGTGAAAAGATATATATGTATATATACATATGTTAGAATGGCAAAATTGTACAAATTTTACCTTTACTGCTAAAATTTTCAAAGTAAATCTAATTCTTGTTGAAGAATATAAATTTGAAACAGCTCTGACAGTGGCAGGAAAGAGGCACATGACCACTCAGAGGGAGTCAGGTGTTCGGAGAAGCACAGCTTGGCCCTCACCTTTCACATCTGGCGTCTGTGGTGTTGAAAAGGCATTGGAGTTTTCGATGATGTGAAGGGGGTCAATATTCTCCTGTTCCACCATCATGAACTGACTCCAATACTCCACGGGCAGGGAAAGCAGGCGCTCTACTACCTAGAAGCCACCACACAGATCAGCCAACTTCTAAAGTTCAGAGCTTACTTCTCATCATTTTCTCATGCATGGGCATGTAGGAACTCTTACCTTGGGCTGCCGCTTGATGTCTTGTAACATTGTTACTGGGTCCGGATTGGGCACAGCATGGGCAACAATTGTAGGGCCAAAGACTTTAGCCAGATTGGCAACATCCATTTTAGTGTTTGGACTCTGAGCCACTCTAAGCAAAAGAGTTTAAATTAGAAGACTTTCTCTTATATTTAAATGCAGACCAAAGACCCAACTCACACTATCTTCCCCTTGGAAAACTCCCTGCCTCCTGGAACAAGTTTCTGCTGTGCTCACCTCTGCAAGTGGATCATGAGGAAAGCTAATGTGTCCCTGTTGGCCTGGGGCAGCTCACCAACAGCTTGGTACATGGCGGCAATGCTGTTGTCCTCGTCCGTGATTTCTGTAAATGAACAGAAAGCACCAAGAGGCCTAGACCTCTTTCCCTTGACAGCAGGCTTCCAAGGTTATTGACCACAACCTCCCCTCGATCCACTACGCCTCTGAAACTTCTGATGAGGTTCATGACTGCATCACACTCGACTTTCATTAACAAGCAGGATACTGGCCAACAGCTCAATAGGAGGAGTCAGAACTTTTTAAAAAATAGGCCCTTGCAGTTAGGGAAAGCAGCTGGCAACCCATGTGCTTGGGGGACACACATCAGAGCTACAATTATCAAGAAGTGTTCCTTCATGAAACATGTAAGGGTCTACTGTGGGCCAGGCACTTTTCAAGGGGTTCGTAATAAAGTAGATGAAGGCCTTGCCTCAAAGAATGTTCATCCTATTAAAGGCCTTGGTGGAAAGCAGAACAATAGGTGAAGCAGCCACTTGGAATGCCTGAATTCCCTCTCAAAGTGCCTAGGCTTGAGTCCCAGTTCTGCTCAGATTTCAACTTGTTGACAGTGAACTCCCCGGAGTTGTCTGTCCTGGGCATCCACAGGGGAGAGCTGGATTGTGTCCCCAGCTCCCAGGCCCCAATCCTGGCTTTCAGTGAGCCTGGCCCACTGTCACACACTGTAGGCACTGCAGTGTTCTCTCTCTGCCTTTCAAATAAAATAAATATTCAAAAAGCAAATATATATCAAGTGGTGATGCATATCATAAAAGAAAATGGAGCAGGCGAAAGCTAAAAAGTAACAGCTCAGTCAGGATGTTTCTGAGGTCAGGATATCTTAAGAGAAACCTCAAATAAATGAAGGGATTTTCATGCAGACATCCAGGCTGGAAAACAACAAATGTGAAGGCCTCCAGGTGGACAGGAGGATTATGTTCTCAGAAATGCAAGATTCCCACCACAGAAGAAGGAAAGAAGCAAAGGTTACGAGGAACAAAATGATGCCTGAAGACACACCAGAAGCCAAATCATATACGGTTTTTAAAAAAATTTCTGGATCCTATATGTACTGGGATCCCAAACAGGTGCTGATTTTTGTCCCAGCTGCTCCACTTCCCTTCCAGCTCCCTGCCTGTGGCCTGGGAAAGCAGTGGAGGACAGCCCAAAGCCTTAGGATCCTGCACCAGCATGGGAGAACCAGTAGAAGCCCTGGATCCTGCCATTGAGGCCACTTGGGAAGGGAAACCAGCGGTCACAAGATGTTTCTATCTCTCCTTCTCTTTGTATATCTGCCTTTCCAAAAAAAATAAATAAAATCTTTAATACATATATTTATTTATTTGAAAGACAGACAAATATACAAATATATGCATATTTGAGACAGACAGACACACAGATCTTTCATCCCCCGATTTAGCCCTAAAATGGCCACAATGGCTGGTCCAGGCCAAAGCCAGGAATCCAGAGCTCCATCCATGTCTCCTACATGGATGGCAGAGACCCGAGACCCAAGTTCTTGGGCCATGCTCCACTGCCCTGCCAGGTGCACCAGCAGGGAGCCACATTGGGAGCAGGGCTCTTAACATGGCTGCTGCACCACATGCCAGCCCTCCACGTCAGTCCTTGAGTGAAAAATGCACAGAGTATCTTCATCTATGTCTCTCCCTCTCTCGTCATTTTACCTTTCAAATAAATAAATAAACCCTGAACTAAAGATCTAGGAAGTTTCCAACACTAAGGGGGGGAAAAAAAAAAAGACTGTGGACTTTATTCTGAGAGTGATGAGGAGTAATAAATCTAAGAAGGACCTTCCTGCGTGCTGATGACACATGGTCCAGCGAGCCGTTCCTACAGCACTGCAGGGAGAGCATGGCAGGAGCGCGAGGAGTGCTGCTACACCACGCTGGACAAACGTCAAATTTCACACAGATTTTTATGAACACTGTTGACAATTTTTTAAAAACTATTTAAGACAGAGACAAAACAAGAGAGAGAAATACAAAAGAGCGAGCGAGAGCTTTCACCTGCTGAATTACTCCCCAAACGCCCACAAAGTCTGGGGACAAACCAGAGGCACAGCTGAAAACCTGGGATGCAAACCCAGTCTCCCCTGAAGACAGCAGGAACCCAAATACTTGAGCCTCCCAAGCAGACAAGACGCGACAACAGGTTACATGTGGAATATGCAGAAAAGGAACAAAGGGACAGAATCTACATCAAGAGAACGAATCTGAACCTTGACCAAAACACAAGCTGTGATCCTACACGGTGTAGAAAGGAAGTGGACAGGCATGGGGGCACATCTGTGCAGCCATACACCTATCACACGTGGGAGCACCCTTTTAAGAACGGAAATGTCGGCCTGCTGGAATTGAAGAGCTGCGCGGACCTGCGGCCTCCATGAAGGCTCTGTTCAGCCGGAAGGTGAGAAGGGGCTCCTTGAGGTTTCGGAGGAAGTCTTTCAACAGGCTGCAGATGGCGTGGATGTCGTCCACTTTGCTGAGGAGGGGCACCGTCTTCACTCTGAGGAACTTCTCCTTCAGCTCTTTGACTGTGCGGTCACAGCCCGAGACCCGGTACAGGCCTGTCTGGGGTCAAGAAGACACTTTCGCTCAAGAACTGACTCATGACTTGGCACAAATAGCACACCCGTTTTCTGCCTGGGATGACTCTTACCTCAGTCAGCCCTCTCTGCTCAATCTCATTTACGCAGTGGACAATGATGGAGGGGATCATCGGAGACGTCTGGGACACGAAATCAGCCAGCATACCCTGCAAAAGGAGCATCCAGTTACCACAGAGAAACATGCATGTGAACAGCTCCCCCAGACTCGCGAGTTGGGGCCACGTGCCCACTCTTAAATCCCTATTGCCAAAGCACATACCAAACGGAGATCCTCAATTATGCCTCCTATCTCCAAACCAAGAATGACTCATGATCGTAAAACCACACTCATGCAAACAGGACCATCAGCCGCAACTATTACCTCCTCCTTTTCTACTCAGAGGTACCACAATAGAATCAAAGATATGGTTTTAACATTAACCAAATTGCTAAAAAGAAAACCCATGGGTTTGGCCACATGGTACAGTATGTTAAGTCATCGCATGCGCTGACAGCATCCACATCGGTGCTGGTGTGACTCTGGTTGCTCCACTTCTAATCCAGTTCTGTGAGCCTGGGAAAGAAAAAGTCTACTCTGGGATCCTGCCACCCACGGGAGAAACCCAGATGGAGTGCCAGGCTCCTGGCTTTGGCCTGGCTTAGCCCCCAAGGATACAGCCATTTGGGGAGTGAACCAGCAGATGGAAAATATCCCGCTCTCTCTTCCTCTCTGTGCCTTTCAAATAAAGAAACCAGAAAGAAAGAAATCAAAAAGAAAGAAAATAGAGAGGAGAGAGAATGAAACAGAGAAAGAAAGGAAGGAAACCCATTCTTGTGCTTTAACATACCTAACAGTTGATCAAGATGCAACCTGCCTGCAGGGGAAAACTTCATGCTCCTCTATCAGTTTTATATCACAGAAAATGTGGAAAAGTGTAACGTTTGATTTGTGAAGGGGTGGTAGCAGCACAGTCATTTTGCTTTGATCCTTGCTAATCCTGCTTATATAATAAGTTTCTTAGACATTTATTGTAAATAAATAAACTGTTAGCAGTGAGTAACCTAGTCTTGACAGCCTGGTATGTAATATCTCTGAGAGAAAGACACTCCCAGAAGAACGTACACAATGGTCCCCAGCTGTAGGACTGCCTAAGCTATCTTGTACCTAGAGAATTGTTACACTGCTGGGAGAAAAGCAGCCAGTAGCTGGCTGACGTTCTTAGCCTGGTTAATGCCAATTCTGTGTTTACTGTACCAGGGTGCCAGAATAGCCGCCTATTTTCTTTCTTTCTTCTAAAGATTGAGGGGATAAGGAATGAAGTGCCCAACACAACACCACAGATGCACGCCAGCTAGAGCCACCCCACCATCGTCACTGCCACCATGAGTGAGTGCATGGCGGGACCATGCATTGTGAAGGGCTAGAGTACTGGAAATGGATTGAAACGAGGGCCACTGAGAGCTTGTTTGACACACAGAAAATTATTTCTGAGGGTTTCCATAGATCGGGGCCCCGGGCCCTCAGGTAACTGATTTGGGAAATGGTAAAGAAGGGGGGATTTGGAGTGCCTCCCTGGGTCAGGCCAAAGCACCAGCCCATATGCACAAGAGGTAGAGCTGGGGATGGAGCAGATTAAGGCTGGGTTACAGCAATAGCTGGTGCTTGCTAGAGCTGTGTTTGGGGTGGGGACATCTCAACTAGGCTGCAGCCAGAGCACACAAGACAAAGGGCTTGGGGCAGGTTGGGCTGGGTTAGGCCATAGCATCTGCCAGCAAGAGCTGGGCTAGGCTGCAGCATCCGTCAGCATATGTAAGACCCGGAGCTTGGAGCACACACAGTAGGAGGTTCAGAGCGGTTGTTCTGACTAGCCTGCAGTATCTGCCAGCAGGGACAAAAACATAGGTTGGGGGTAGGCCAAATAGGGGTTCTTGAGGGTTGCCCTTCACTAGGCTACAGCACTGGCCAGTGCATGCGAGAGCTGTGCCAAGGGACAGGCTGGGCACCCAGGCTGTAGCACCCACCAGTTCACATGAGAACCAGGGCTGGGGCAATGACCAGGCAACTGCACCCACTGGTACATGCACTGGCTGCTGCAGGGAGCTGGGCTGAGTCTGGCTCTGGCACCAGCTGGTACACACAAGAGTAAAGGCTGAGGAACCCCCAGGCCAGATTTTTTTTTTAAGATTTATGTTTTTTTAGTGCAAAGTCAGATATACAGAGAGGAGGAGAGACAGAGAGGAAGATCTTGCATCCAACGATTCACTCCCCAAGTAGTAGCAATAGCCGGAGCTGAACCAATCTGAAGCCAGGAGCCTGGAGCTTCTTCCGTGTCTCCCAAGAGGGTATAGGATCCCAAGGCTTTGGGCCGTCCTCGAGTGCTTTCCCAGCCCACAAGCAGGGAGCTAGATGGGAAGCAGGCCGCTGGGATTAGAACCTGCACCAATATGGGATCCCAGCCCGTTCAAAGTGAGGACTTAAGCCACTAGGCCACGACACTGGGCCCCCTAGGACAAGGGGATCCCTAAATAGACCACTGTGTTGGATCCCTGACCTCAGGGAAAATCACATATACACTGGTCTGATCCTGGAGCATATGTTGCAGGACTGAGCCACCTCAGTTGCTAATTCTTGTATAAAAATGGAGAGCATACTCAGATGATCGTGAAAAGACAAGACGGTCAGCTCATCTAAGCCAACAGAAGACTTTCAAGCACCTCATTAAAAGACAGAAAGCAAGACAGGCTGAACTACACTCTAGGCCAGAATCTACAACAAGTTCCTAGGTCTGCAGGCACACTGAGGTACACAAGGACAGCTGAAAAGGTCTTAGAAAGAATATTCAACTGGAGTGTAACAAAGCTGACAACTTCTCAGAACAATCAAGACCACTCAAATTACACTCTGGGACATTCTTGCCTCCATCAGGGCTGCGAAGGTGATATCAAATGACCATCTCCACTCCCAGGCAGTGGTGTAGCAGGGGAGCAGGGAGCAGCGCTCTCTCCCCTTCCCACACTGAAACACCTCACGCACCTTCTCTCCCCACCCAACCCTCTCCATCCTAATCAGAGGCCCACAGAAGCCTTCAACCCCTCTCTCCTAAGAAATGTTAAAATAAAAAATTTAAAAAATGGAAAAACAAAGAAATTACATGACTGTAGTCAGCCACAAAATAATTCATTGTGGGGCAGGCAGGGCAGTGGCATTGTAGATAAAGCCGCCACCCATGGTGCTCACATACCATATAGGCACCATTTAGAGTCCTGGTGGTTCCACTTCCAATCCAGCTCCCTAATAGTGCGCCTGGGAAAGCATTGGAGGATGGCCCAAGTGGCTGGTATCCTATACCCACACAGGAGATCTCACAGAAGCTCCCGATTCCTGGCTTCAGATCAGCCCAGCTCTGGCCATGGCAACCACTGAGGGAGTTAAAATAACGAAAGATTCATCTCTTTGTAACCGCCTTCCAAATGAAACAAACAGCCAGCAGCCAAGAAACGCCTCACCGAGAGATGAGGGTTCTGGTCAATCAAGAAGTGACATGAGCAGTAACTGCACAAGTTTTAGAGCCAGAAGTTGGTTACACTAACCTCTCCACACATGTAACTGTACACATAGGATGGGGAGGGAAATTAGAAGGTTGAAGCTAGCAGACAGGCCCATCAGTTGTACCTCTCCTATCTTGACAGGTGTGCCCATGAGGGTAGGAATGCAAGGCAGAGGACAACGCTCCCGGCATTCTGGGTGAGAAACCACGCGGCAGTCGCGACACTTCAGAGACAGTTTGCCAAATTTTATCCGCTTCCCACATGGAACGCAGGATTCAGGCTTAATAACCTAGGGATAAAACATGGGAGGAGGAGGCAGAGTGGCACAATTTAGAAATAATGATCAACCAACATTCAATGAACACTTGATACGCTCCAAACAACTTCCCCAGACTATCCATATTGTGTGACTCTCACAAAACCCTGTAATGCTTTAGTTTCTCATTTCATTCAAAAAGAGCTTGAGTAACTTGAGTAAGGTCATTCAGCTACAAGTCAACAGTGGAAAGGATATGGCTGAGGAAAGGTCAGAAGGCCCAGATGCTAAACCTGCCTCCTACTATTATCCAGCACAAATAAGCCAATTACTCCCTGAGACCCAGTTAGTGGGATCACATGGTATGCTGTTACAATGTGTTGACATTCTGAGGCACTATATTCAGGCACAATATTTATAAACATGTACCGCTAAATGGTACAAACAACTGCTTCTGAAAAGCTGCTTCAATTTTTCACTATTCACAGAATCCCCCTATAACTAGTAGGCAGGCCTTGAGAGTCGGACTAGACAGAGAAGTTTCATTGCAACTTCTTCCCAGCATATGTTAGCTTCACAATTAAAAGGAGCAACCACAGATTTACCGTCTTAGAGACAAAGTCGTGCAGGCGCATCCCTCCATTATTCTGTGGTGTGCCTGAATTGTCTGTCTCAGTTCTTGCTTCCAGTTGTCTGCTGTTCAGGGTAGAGTCACTGTTCCAAGGTTGTAAAGTACCTAGAAAACAAGCAAATCTAAGCTTTGTGTCTTTTTGAAAATTATGTTAAAGATTTGTTTATTTAAATGGCAGAGTTTCAGGGGCAAGCACATGGTGTTAACAGGATAATCAGCTTTCTGAGATGCCAGTAACCCACACGGGTGACAGCTCACGTCCCAGGTGCTCTGCTAACAATGCGTCAAGTGTTATGTTAGGGCCTCTATCACTCACACGGGAGGTCCAGATGAAGCTCCTGGTTTCAGCCTAGCCCAACGTGGCGGGTGCAGTTATCTAAGCATTTGAAAAGCCTTTGTCTCTAAAGCTCTGAATTTAAAAAAAAAAAATTAAAAAGAAAGAAAAGAAAGGAAGAAAGAAAGGCAGGCAGAGAGAGTTAGAGAGAGGGAGAAACAAATTTCCATCAGCTGGTTCACTCTCCAGAAGGATACAATGGCTAGGACAAGCTAAAGCCAGGAGCCAGGAGCTCCGTCCAGGTCTCCTACATGGGTGGTAGGGACCCAGATGCTTGGGTCATCTTTCACTGCCTTCCTAGGTACAGCAGCAGGGAGACTGATTGAAAGCAGAGCAGTGGGACTCAAAGTGGCGCCCATATGGGGTCACAGGAAGAGGCTTAACTTATTCTACCACAATGATAAACCCAAACTTGATGGCTTAAAAATTTGATCATTCTGTATTATCCATAATATTAATATAACTGGTGGATAAACAGCAAGCTGCCATCATAACCAGAAGCAAACACCGGGGTTGGTGTCATGGTGTGACAGGCAAGCCTACCATTTGCAAGACTCACATACCATATGGGCACCAATTCCAGTAGTTCTACTTCTGATCCAGCCCCATGCTAATGTGCTTAGCAAAGTGGCAATGGATGGCCTAAGTGTTTGGGCCTATGCATCCTTGTGGGAGACCTGGATAGAAGCTGCTGGCTGGGCCCGGCGCGGTGGCGCAGTGGTTAAGGTCCTCGCCTTGCACGCCCAGGATCCCATATGGGCGCTGGTTCTATCCCGGCAGCCCCGCTTCCCTTCCAGCTCCCTGCCTGTGGCCCGGGAAAGCAGTCGAGGACGGCCCAAAGCTTTGGGACCCTGCACCCATGTGGGAGACCCGGAAGAGGCTCCTGGCTTCTGACAGGCATAGTATTGGCCGTTGCGCTCACCTGGGGAGTGAATCATCGGACGAAAGATTTTCCTCTCTGTCTCTCCTCTCTGTATATCTGCCTTTCCAATAAAAAAATAATAAAAATAAATCTTTAAAAAAAAAAAAGAAGAAGCTGCTGGCTTTAGCCTGACCCAGCTCTGATTATTGTGGTCATTTGGGAAGAAAACCAGCAGATGAAAAATCTCTGATTATTCTGCCATTCAAATAAAGTAAACTGTTCCTCTTGTTTTACACAGACAATTTAATGACAGAATCCACAGACCTATTTTCCTTCGGCTCCTTGTCCAATAAGGCACAGTTTCAATAGTGGACACAGCTTCGATGGGCCCACCATCATTAGGAACAGTCACTGTGGTCTTTGCAACAAGGGATTCGTTTCCCTGCAACAACAGTAGCAGTAAGTAAAGGATGAACATAAACCATCTAACATTCCTTTCACTACAGGATAGTTTGGAATAGCTCTTGGTAAAGATCTGATTCCCACCTGCAGGTAACTGCCTAGACTGGCTGGCAGTCTGGAATGGTTTATGTCAACTCTGTGTTAATTATAACAGTGTGCCAATACAGTTGTCTATTCTTCCATGTAAAAACTTCAAGAGGGAAGGGCAAAGGCCAATGTCCTTGTGCCAGGGTAGAGGCCATTGAAGGTTTTTGACATGCGCAGAGCTGCTGCCACAAGCTTCTCTGAGCCAGGCCGCTGCACCCACTGATGCATGCAAAGGACTAGATTAGTGGTTGGACAGGCAGAGGAACCTACAAATCCAGTGCCCGGGGCATCCCCAGGCAAGGCTGCTGTCCACTGGCACATATGAGCCAGGGCTGGAGGTAGGCCACGCAGGGGCCTAGAGAGCCTCACCTGCCAGCTCAGGAAAGAACCAGAGCTGGGAATGACCCAGGCCATGGGTCTACAGCCGGTATGCCATGGTTCACTGGACCAGGCTGTATGGCTTTTGGCTTTGGCAGGCAGCCTGTCGTTTCATCTTATGCTGGCCCCAGACACATTAGGTTCTCTGGTCTCAGGAATCAGAATCCATGCATGCGTGGAGTGACCCTGGACACATGGACACAGGCCTGATAAGACAACCTACACTGTTGATTCCTGTGCACAGAAGCCCACAGCATCTCAGAGTGATGATGAGGACGTGGGGGATACCATAGGCACTGAATGGGAGTTCTCTGGGACAGACAAGCTCTAAGCCCCTAATCAGCAGCACACAAAACTACAGAAAATCTGCTGAATCTGTACTCTTCAGCAACCCTTAGACTGAGCTGGAAATTTCTGAGGAGGGAATGAAATAGGACAGGTAGGTAGCTAGCTTAGGGCCATAAGCTGGAAGCCACACTCCTCCTGGTCTTTGTAAATCCCTCACAAGTTTTTATCAATCAATAATCCCCTCCTCCAGGATGTACTTGTCACCAGAGAACTGGGGTGGTGTCATCAAACCACTCCCCTTTACCAGATGATATGAAGCTTGGCAATGAGAAAGGGCAATCTCTTCCCACAGACACAGGTCCCTCTCTCCCAACTCACTCTACCCGCAAACATGGTCCACGAGTACTTGTCATCGCTTCGTCTTTTAAATAAACTTAAAATGTTTAAAAAGGCTTGAGGCTACAGCCCAATACATGCTTAAGTTGAAATGTTATACTTCATAATGTAACTATAGATCACAGGAGTATATGAACAAGCAGCTAAGAATCAGAACTGAGAGAGTTGGTTACTTAGTAAGACTATCTCCATTTATATGAATGCTAAAGATTACCACTAAACATCTTAAGATAATGTTATCACGTTGACTTCAAGGAGTTCTTAATGCTTAGGACCACTAAATGCCAATGTATTCAAGGCCATAGGTCTCTGGGCCTTAAAATCCTTACCTGGTCTACTGTGGACCCAATGGAACGAGTTTTCTTTACAGGTCCAGGGGGACCATCAACAAATTGTCGACTAGAGCGCTGGAGAGAGAGCAAAGAGACCAGTAACTTTAGAGCCAAGAAGATATCCAAGTACATAAGATAAAATCATTCTATCAGACAACAGGCCAGCAAGTCCTGAGGACCAGATGAACAACGTGATCTCTCTCACACCCATTTCCACACACAGAATAAGTTGTACCAAACAGTACCCTCAATGCCCTAGGAAAAAATTAGCAAGCTTTTGGAGAAATTCAAATGACAGTACCAGAAAAGGACAGCTGTAATCCCATCTAAGGATATCAAGTCTTTGGAAACACACTGCATGCCCTAAACACACACACACAGATAGGCCTCTGTATCCCATTATGCATACTTCTCCTCTCAAGTTTACATTAGAGCACAAAAGTACTGCATAAAAATTCACATGACAACTTTAAACAACTGGAGCACATACTGCTCCTCTCTGACGGCAGTGAGGCACAGCCCAGACCAGTCAAGTAGCAGCATCCTACCCTAACTGCCTCAAACACTATCAATCCCACCCCCACCACAGAAGGAATTCACACCCACAATATGTGTCATAACGAAATTCCATGGCAAAACTGTCAAAGGAAATCCTTTTCTTATTTCTTTAGGGAAAAAATTAAACAAACCATGCATACCCTCTTTTCTCTTTTTTTCAGTTTGAAAGTCTTCACCATAGAAGAATCCCAATCCTGTTGACAAAACACACTGCATTAATTTCTTCCTTTGGTTGGGCCTCACCTATACCCAGTTCAAATACATTTACAATGAACTTTAAAGACTTCAAGTCACACCACCTAACTTATGATCTGGGGAGAGCAGGCACAGGTCTCAGTATTGCAGCTGTAGAGTTACAGGAAGTTAATATACTTACTTTCTTTTAAAAATTGAAGCTATTATAGAAGAATCAGGAATCAATACCAAAGAGGCAAGAAAAGGTTAAAGAATCAACTTCTGCCTGATTACTTCCCTTCTTTCCCTTTATTTCTGATTATTTTCTAATTTGTTCTAGAACTTACAGAATGTTGGGCACTATTCTGACCATGTCAGATGTGATTCTTGCCCTCAAAGGATTGTTACTATCTAATCAGATGTTTGGTAGAACACTGCCAACTTAAAATGTTCCAGTTCCAAGTTTTATATCTCAGTCATCTCTCTTCCTTGGATCTTAAAGAGATTGTCACCACTAAAGAATTGTCTTTTGCAATGGTCTAGTTTCAATTAATTATTTACATTCATTTTGAGTAGGTATCTGGCTTTCATTTCCTTACTCTTGGTGTGCCCTGAAAACAAGTATTTAGACACAGTTACATAGAGCAAATGGCACTACAGCTAAGTAAATTTAACTTTTCTAATTCATGGTCAAGTAATTTAACTACGGGGTTGTATGATTCAGCTTTGGTTACAACATTTATCTACCAAAATCAAATGCTAATGTGCTCTGGTTCTATTATACATTCCATTCCTACCCTTGTTACCCTTTTTTTCCAGCAGGTGATACCTAATATTTCCACCTGCAAAATGCCATTTCCCTCCCTGTCAAACATTACATTTGGGTGGAAATCTCCTAGTCATGCAAAAGCAGCTCACTTGTTTCGCTGTAACAAAACAAAACAAACAAACAAAAAAAAACCAGTAATTTCTTGCGTTTCATTACGTTGCTTGCCTGCTTTCAGTGAGCAACAGGAAAGATACACAAACCAATGAATTATCAGTCTCCTGAGCAAGTATCTCAAGACAAAACCAGAAGACGACCTTTCATGCAGAAATGTTTCCATCCATTAACAGAAGGCTGCTGCCGCGTGACAGAGCACAGACAAGCAGCCCGCTCCTGACCAGTGCTCGGCTCAGCCCTCAGGCTCAAGGGCCACAGCACTGGCTAAACTGTCCTCCAAAACCAGACGAATTCAGAAATAAGTCACAGATCCATTTACCCTAGGAGCAAAAAATAAGCCCTACCCAGAAACAATTGTGCTAAAATTTTTATTGCCAGCTACAGCTTAAATAAATAAGTCAAGATATAATCAATTAGGACATGCTGCTCACAGAGATCCATTAAATAAACTCAACTTTACAGCAAATCCTTTTATATTCTCACTTATAGAAACTAAACAAATACACAAGCCAGTCACTTAGAGTCTGTGTTGATTTATACTTTAAATTGCTAGCTCAGAATCTATAACACGTCAACTAATAAAAGGGTAATCAAGACTGTGCAGAAGAGAAGACAGGAAAAACGCCTGAGGGAATAGGGATAAGAAAGGTAGATAAGCTCAGGGATCAAATGTTATTACCAGTGATTCATCAGTCTTGTCATAGCTGATATCTGACAAAATGGAACCAGATTCATCAATGGTTGACAGCCTGGATAAGTGAAACAATGCCGTTAGACACACAAGAGTGCAGGAAGTAAAACCTATCAACACTCAGAAAAAGCACCCTGGCCAGTCACATCAGCAAGTTCAGTGCAATACTGTCTCTAATGGAGACAACTACAAACCCTCGCCCTCACAGAGGACGGCTGCTTCTGACGGTGGTCATAGGAGAGCACGCGCAGCATCAGAGCACAGGTAAACCCCAGGTGCTGTTTCAGCAGAAGTCTCACAACAAAAAGCCTTACAACAGCTGTCTAAGGTGACGTCAAGGCTACGGGTGGTATTCCCAGATGAGCTTGTATATACTCGCTGCTAAAAACTGACAAGGAAGACTGATGGTTGAAGCGTAATTTGATCCCAATTGTGGCTGCTTTCTATAGTAGAATGTTATCTTGAAATAGTTTTTTTTTTTTTAAAGAAATTAAGCCTATACATCTTCATTATAAAGATTCTCCATAAAACGACCAAGCAACAATATTAAATGGCTCTAAGAATGTCGACCTTTCCCTACTTATTGCACAGGGGGTGTTAAATTCAAAGCTTGGTTGAGAATATTTTAAATGGTGATGTAATGGAACCAAGATTATTGTCTGGTCTTGGCTCGCAGAAACCTTTCTAAGCCCGAAGAGCTAGAAGAGCTCTCAGGAGATGAGTGAACACGGACAGCACTGCTGAGCCGCCACTGACACCCTTAGGTTTCTTAGCAGTGTGCAGGATTAGCTATTGATGTGCGATTTAGCACCAACATCAACTTTTTATCCCTGGTGAAACAATATCCTAAGGAATGATATGGAATCTGTGCCTTTATGTGCCAACCCTCAAGTCTGCTTTATTCAGCACACACTGCACAGTCTACTTGGAGAGTTCAGATAACAAGAACTTCTGACAGCTGTGCTGCTCATGATCCGCTAAGAGCAGATGCAGTCCCCAGTCCCCCACCTTTTGTTCCCAGCATTGCCACCGGATGGCTGGCCTCTGTTGAGGAAAGCCAGAGCGGATTTTTGCTCCTCACTTAGTTGAATGCTGCCAGACGTGTCACACATGAGCATCTCACGAATCAGCTGGATCTGTCGTTCCTACAAACCAAGCAAAGTGAAACATCGTTCCAGGCAGGGGAGAAAATCCACCTGAGATTGATGGGACAGGCAGACCACAAGACACTAAAATATGGCATTATGCAAATAGGTCCTCAGGAAGGCTGCTACACCAGCAGCATATTAATTCCTGTCAAGCCCAGATGGAGCCTCTGATTTCTGTCCAGTTAAAAAAAAACTCTACCTAGAATAGCGTGGTTTCTCTTCTAATACTTTTGGATCAAACAGCTAATCTAAGAGGAGAGCAATGCAAAATCAGAATCCCAAAATAGATCTCACATCACAAAAAACACTCCTGTGTCATTCTGTCAGGGCAATTGTTGGCTTCTACACATCAGAGCAGCCACCCACCTTTCTAACTGGTGGAGCAAATGCATTAAAATGGATACAAAGCCGTAACACACTGGAACCAGATAATTTGAGCTTACTGAGGCATCGAACTCTATACCCAGGTGGATTAGTCTCTCATCATAAAGGTTTTCCTCTCCACCATGACCCACCCTGGCACATGGAAATGATAGCAGTTTGTCAGCCACATTGCTCAACTGGCTGAATACATCTAGCTCTTGACCTGAAGGAAAGTAGTGATGAAGAGTTATAGCTGCTTTGCCTGTCTCAATGACAAAGTACCAGCAATTTGTATAGGGATGAAGATATCCTCCATAGTGCTATAATAAACAGTGAGGGGTGATCAATAACTTGTGACACATCAAGTATACTGGGACTTCCCTGCCTTTAACCCTAATTCTAATATCTTACTGTTTTGTAAATGTTTATTGATTTTCATTTTATTTGAAAGGGAGAAACACAGACATCCTTCATCTGCTGGTTCATTTCCCAAATGGCCACAACAGACAGCAGCTTAAAGCCAGGATCCTAGAACTCCATCCTAATCTCTCATATGGGTGTCACACCCAAGAACTACAGCCACCATGTGCTGGATAGAAGCTGGATCGGAAGCAAACGAGCCAGGGCTCAAACCAGGCACTCCTACATGGGAGTGGCTTTTGCAAGCAGAAACCTAAGCCACTGCACCAAGCACTCAATCCCCAATTTAAATGTCTTAAATTCTCATTTTAAATCTGTCCTTTAAAGTAATTGTTCTGGGGCTGGTGCAATGGCTCAACTGGCTAATCCTCTGTATGCAAATGCTAGCATCCAATAGGGGTGCTAGTTCCTGTCTGGACTGCAACACTTCCCATCCAGCTCCCTGCTTGTAGCCTGGGAAAGCAATAGAGGACAGCCCAAAGCCTTGGGACCTGGCACTCATGTGGGAGATCCTGAAGGAGCTCCTGGTTTCGGATCACCTCAGCTCCAGCTGCTGCGGCCATTTGGGGAGTAAACCAGTGAATGGTCTTTCTCTCTTGCCTTCTCTCTGTATATCTGTATTTGCAGTAAAAATAAATTACTATTTAAAAAAATAATTAAATAAATAAATAAAATGGACCTGGTAAAATGCCAACTGGCTAAATCCTTGCCTTGTATGCACTGGGATCCTATATGAGTGCCATTTCATGTCTCAGTTGCTCTGCTTCCCATCCACCTCCCTGTTTGTGGCCTGGGAAAGCAAGAGAGGATGGCCCAAACGCTCAGAGAAGCTGCTGGCTCCGGCTCTGGATCGGCTCAGCTCCAGCCATTGAGGTCACTTGAGGAATAAACCAGCAGATAGAGGATCTTTCTGTCTCTTCTTCTCTCTATAAATCTACCTTTCCAATAAAAGTAAATCAATCTTTAAAACAAAAAAACAACAGGATTCCTAGGCTGCAATTTCAGCTTCAACCCATAGGCAAGATGTCAAACACTAGGTCACTTCTAGTTCTCCATGCAGAAGAAACTGGGGACACGTAACAAGTGGAAACATGGTCAGACCAGGCTCCCCACTCTGGTCACTCCTGTTCTAGCACAGAGAATGGTGCACACACCAGCTTTTCGCAGTCAGCCTCGGCTCGCTGTCTCCGTCGGATCTCCACATCCACCTGATTGCGTGCATGCTTCAGTTTAACATCCAGGGCGCTTCGTTCAGTCTCCGCTTTCATCAAAAGATCCTTGTATTTGCCCAGCTCATGGTCTGTTCTCTGCCACTTTTTACGAAAATCCTCAAAGTCCTTTGCCAGCTGAATGAATTCTGAAAAATATTAATAATTCTGAAAAATATTAATAATTCAAGCACCAAAGAGGGTATAATTGCTCTAATAAGTCCTACCATTAGCTTTGCTCAAATACATTACTAAGGCACCAACTGAACTATGGCCAAATCTAGCTGAACTCCAGAAGCCAGCAGCTCCCATTTCAACAGTCTACTTACTCTTTGACTTAGCCTGTGGCATCTGCCACGGAACATGTGACTCATTAGTCACCTGGCTCCAGATGAAACACCAACACTGAAAACTTCTGAACAGAAGGCAATCAAAGGGGGCACCTCTGGGGCAGCTGTCACACATTAGGACATTTACAGCTACAAAGCAAAAACAGCCTCCTTTACAATTACACATTGCTGTGCCTGAGAGATAGCACACAGCCAACTCAAATGTAACTGCCATAGTACACTCTAGGAGACATAGATTAATCTTGTGCATGCCTAGGCATGCATTTCCATTCAACAATATAATTATATGAATATTGATTTAAAAGTAAAGAGCCCGGCCTGGCACGGCGGCCTAGTGGCTAAAGTCCTCACTTTGAACATGTTGGGATCCCATATGGGCACTGGTTCGAATCCCAGCAGCCCCACTTCAAATCCAGCTCCCTGCTTGTGGCCTGAGAAAGCAGTCGAGGATGGCCCAAGGCCTTGGGACCCTGCATCTGTGTAGGAGACCTGGAAGAGGACGTGGGCTCCAGGCTTTGGATTGGCACAGCACCGGCTGCTGCGGTCACTTGCAGACAAGATATTTCTCTCTTTCTCTCCTCCTCTCTGAATATATATGACTTTGCAATAAAAATAAATAAATCTTAAAAGAAAAGAGCCAATTTGCTTTTGCTGTTTAACACTGCCCTGAAGGGTATGTAAACATCCCACTTCAAAAAGCTCAAAAAGAGGACCTGGTGTGATGGTTCAGTGGCTAAACCCTTGCCTTGGAATCACTGGGATCCCATCTGGGTACTGGTTCATAACCCAGTTAATCCATTTCCAACCAGCTCCCTGCTTGTGGTCTGGGAAAGAAGTGGAGAACGCCCCAAAGCCCTTGAATGCTGCACCCACACAGGAGACTCGGGAAAAATCTCCTGGTTTCTGGCTTCAGATTAGCTCAACTCTGGCCATTCCAGGCACTTGGGGAATGAACCAACAGATGAAAGATCTTTCTCTCTGTATCTGTTTCTCTCTGTAAATCTGCCTTTCCAATAAAAATAAATAAGTCTCCTAAAGAAAAATAAAAAGCACAAGAAGAGAAGACCAAACTAGCTTTTGGAAAGTCACCGATAGCAGAATGTGGACTCTCCAGAGGATTGCAAAGAGAGCATCGACCGATCCAAGGCAGCGCCTCAGAGCAAGATAACCCTGGTGGCATCCATTCTTATCACCTGTTATTGGCAAAGACTATTCCTCTACAGTGTATTTGCACAAAGTAATCTTACCATTTTCTAGTTAACCTCAATCTATCTCTGAGCATCACTCTCTGTCACCATCAGGAAAGAAAAGTTCCAAGGTGTGCATCTGCTGCTGGTCAAACTAACCCAGTTTATAAATGAAACTAGGCCGAACTCATACTAGGCTAGCAGATTCTTAAGTATGAAGGGCACTTTTTCTATTTGATTTTAACCTCGCAGTATAGAATAATGCAGTATCCTTTTCAAGCAACTTTTTTTTTCAGCGACTTTCATAATTTGACTAAGTTTCAAACTTATAAATTAGGATAGCTAACTCATTCTAGGGAAACAAAGTTAAAAATTCAGTTTTAAGTAGACAACAAATTTCAGTAAAACAAGATAGAGACAACGCAAATACTAAGAATCAAAAAAAAAAAGTACTGAGGCTAGGCCACCATCTATAATGCAGGCATGCCCTATGGGTGCCAGTTCTAATCCTGACAGCTCCACTTCCAATGCAGCCCCGGCTGCTAATGTAGCTAGAAAGGTGGTGGAACACGGCTCAGTTCCTGTACCCACATGACACCAAAAGGGAGCTCCTGGCTCCTGCCTCCAGTCTGGCAAGGCCCTGTCTATTGCAGTCATTTGGGGAATGAACCAAATGGAAGATATTTACATAAAATATATACACACACATATATGTTTAAATTCATGCGATTGTCTAAGAAAATTGAAACTATAAAATTGTCATAGAAAATATGCATTATTTCAATTTCATTTTCCAGGAACAATATTTTAAGTACCTGTCTATATTCATTTGTAAACTTAATTATTTTTTAAAAAGAGAGATTTATTAACTTTTAACTCAAAAGTCAGAGTTATAGAGGAGCGACGAAACAATCCTCCATCCACTGGTTCACTCCAACTGGCTATAACAGCTGGAGTGGAACAGATCATCTGAAGCCAGAATCCAAGAACCTCTTTCAGGTCTCCCATGCAGGTGCAGCATCCCAAGGCTTTGCGCTGTCCTCTGCTGCTTTTCCAGGCTATAAGAGGGAGCTGGATGGGAAGTGGAGCAGCAGGTACTAAGACTGGTGCCCATATGGGATCCTAGCGCTGCAGGTGGAAGATTAGCCTATAAGGTTCTGCAAATGTAACTGCTTCAGTAAACGTAACTTTTTCAACTTTACAGACTCACAACAACAACAACAATTACAAACAAAAGCTGATTGTTTGATTGGGTTCACTCTAACAATTTATAAAAGCAGAGAGCCAGTAACAGAGCTGCTATCTTCTGGATCAGGCCTCACATGCCTGCAATGAGCACAGATGGGCCACACTCCGAGCAAGGAGCTGGGATCTCACTTGAAGTGGCCCATTTGGGTGCAGGAGTCCCGCTGCCTGAGTCATCACCACAGACTCCCACAGTGTGCACTGGTAGGAAGCTAGAGGCGAGAGCCAGAGCTGGAAACTGAACACAGGAATTCTAACATGAGATACGCAGCTTAACCACTTAAACTAAACACTCCCAACTTGTGTTGTGAGTGTGTCAGTTTATTTACATTTGAAAGAGATACACAGAAGCAGAGAGCTGTTCTATCCACAGCTCGCTGTCAAATGTCCTCAACAGCTGCGGCCAGGAACTTCATCTGGACCTCACACGTAGGCGACAGGGATCCAACTGCTTGAACGTTACGTGAGCAACCCATGTGCATTAGCAGGAAGCCTCAATCAGAAGTGGAGCCAGAGCTGTAAGTGCTGTGATATGGTGTACCAAGCAGGGGCTTTAACAAAGCCTGCACTAAACACCCACCCTCACACATATTTGTGACATTAGAAACTACAGTCTTCTGGCCAGCGTTATGTGGCTCAACAGGCTAATCCTCTGCCTGCTAGTACTGGCATCCCACAAGGACACAAATCCGTCTCCTCGCTGCTCTACTTTCAATCCAACTCCCTCTTCAGGGCCTACAAAAGCAGCAGAGGGTGGCCCAGGTCCTTGGACCCCATTAACTGCATGGGAGACCCGGGATAAGCTCCAGGCTCCTGACTTCAGATCAGCTCAGCTCCAGTCACAGCAGCCATTTGGAGATAGAAGCAATGCATGGAAGATCTTTCTCTGTCTCTGTACCTCCTTCTCTCTGTAAATCTGCCTTAATAAAAATAAATAAATTTTTAAAAAGAAAAAAAAAAAACCATGGTCTCAAAAACCTTGTAGCTTTACATCGTGGTCAATTGAGAATACTGTAAACAGAGTGCTACATGTACTCAAACATTTTCTGAATTGAAAGAACAAAAAGATTTCCATTTGACCTAATTTTGTTGAACTGTTTTTTCTTCAGGATATTCCTTCTTGATAAGCCTGATTAAATTTGAGTCTTTATTCTACTGATTGCTAACTGCATATGTTTCACAAGTCTAACTGAATTGGTTGACACAGAACTCAAACTGAACATCAATTCATTTCAAGGAAGAAACTTTTAGTTTAACAGTACAAATCATTACATTAATGTTGCAGCTTAAGTACAAGATTAAAAAAACACAATGGGAAAACAAAATGTCCAAATTATCAAAATAACTTTATTTGCAATTAACTTTCATCTCTTCTTTCTTTTAAAAATTATGTGGGCCTGGCATGATGGCTCCAGTGGGTATCAGTTCGTGTCCCCGCTGCTCCATGTCCCTTCCAGCTCCGTTTGTGGCCTGGGAAAGCATTCTAGGACGGCCCAACACCTTGGGACCCTGCACCCTCATGAGAAACCCAGAAGAAGCTCGTGGCTCCTGGCTTTGGATCGGCTCAGCTCTGGCCATTGCAGACAGACGACCTTTCTCTCTGTCTTTCCTTTTCTTCGTATATCTGATCTGCCTTCCTAATAAAAATAAGTAAATCTTTTAAAAAATATTTATGGCCCTGGCACGGTAACCTAGCAGTGAAAGCCTTGCATGCGCTAGGATCCCCTATGGGCACCGATTCTACTGTCGGAGGCCCCGCTTCCCATCCAGCTCCCTGCTTGGGGCCTGGGAAAGCAGTGGAGGACGGCCCAAAGCCTTGGGACCCTGCACCCGTGTGGAAGACCTGGAAGAGGATCCTGGCTCCTAGCTTCAGATTGGCTGAGCTCTAGCTGTTGCAGCCGCCTGGGGTGTGAATCAGCAGATGGAAGATTTCTTCTCTGTCCTCTTCTCTGTATATCTAACTTTCTAATAAAAATAAAATAAGTCTTTAAAAAGTTGTTTATTTGAAAAGGCAGAGTTACAGGAGGAGAGAAAAAGACACACAGAGAGATCTTCCATCCACTGGTTCACTCCCTCAAATGATCCACAGTCAGGGCTAGGCCAGGTCAAAACCAAGAACCAAAAACTTCATCTAGGTCATCCATATGGGCAGTGAGACCCCCAAGCACGAGGGCCATCCTCCCTGCTTTCTCAGAGTACATCAGCAGGAGTTGCATTGCAAGCAAAGCAGCTAGGACTCAAACTGGTGTTCATATGAGCTACTGGCACTACAGGCTGCAGCTTAACCTGTGATACAACAGTCCCTTGTTCTGATCTTCCCTAAGAAAAGCAAAATATTTGTATCAAAGCAATGTATCCTGATTTTTA